GTGATGAGGGTGACTGTTACCGGTGTTTCCCGCCTGACCCGGGCATTGAGACTACTGCTCTAGGTACTGGTGAGGCTGCTGCTCTAGGTGCTAGCGAGGCTGCTGCTCTAGGTGCTAGTGCGTCTGCTTCCTCAGGTGCTGGTGAGTCTGCGCTCTCAGGTACCGAGACGGCTTCGGCCTCCCTCACCTTCACCCTTGACTCGGGGGCTTCTCGCTCCTTCTTTCGAGACCGCACCACACTCACGCCGCTTGGTCGGCCAGTTGCAGTCTCTCTAGCAGACCCCTATGGGGGTCCTGTCCTTGCTCACTTCTCCACTGTCCTCCCGTGTCCGGCGGCTCCCTCTGGCACACTGTCTGGTCTTTACCTCCCCTCGTTCTCTACGAACTTGGTGAGTGGTGCTGACCTACAGGATGGGGGAGTTCACCAGTTCACTCCTGCGAGTCAGCGGGTGACCCACTGCACGGACGCTCGGACGGGCCGACACTTGGCCACGTTTACTTGTCGGCCGGGGTCGAGCCTGTACACACTGACCACTGCGTCTCCTCCTGTCCCTGCGTCTGGTCAGGTAGCTGCGTCGGGTCAGGTGTTTGCTGCAGCGTCCAGGTCTGGTCCTGAGTCTGCCCCCTGCTCGTGTCGCCTCCTGTCTCACGAGACTCTCCTCTGGCACCACCGCCTTGGTCACCCCTCCCTACTTCGTCTCCGAGGCATGGCCTCCCGTGTCCTTGTCTCTGGTCTTCCCCGGTCCCTCCCTCCCCTTCCTCCAGGGCCTGGCCCTACCTCCGTCCCCTGTGTCGAGGGACGGCAGCGGGCTGCCCCTCACTCCTCCCAGTTTCCTCCGACAGAGGCTCCGTTGCAGACGCTTCACATGGACGTGTGGGGCCCCGCCCGCGTCCGTGGACTGGGTCACGAGCGCTACTTCCTGCTGGTGGTTGACGACTACTCGCGTTACACCACAGTCTTCCCCTTGCGCAGCAAGGGTGATGTCACTGAGGTGTTGATCGACTTGATCCGCGCAGCTCGTCTCCAGCTCAGGCAGAGCTTCGGCTCGGACTTTCCTGTTCTGCGTCTGCACTCTGACAGAGGCGGAGAGTTCTCCTCTGGCCTTCTGCGAGCCTACTGTCGTGCACAAGGCATCCGCCAGACCTTCACGCTTCCGGACTCTCCACAGCAAAATGGGATTGCTGAGCGCCGCATTGGGATGGTCATGGACGTCGCCCGTACGTCCATGATGCATGCGGCTGCCCCCCATTTTCTGTGGCCGTTTTGCGGTTCGGTACGCGGCGCATCAGATCAACCTTCACCCCAGGGTCTCCATGCCGAAGACCTCCCCAGCCTTGCTGTGGATGGGGAAGGTTGGCGATGCGTCTGCGTTCCGTGTCTGGGGATCTCGGGCGTTTGTCCGCGACTTGTCTGCGGACAAGCTGTCCCCTCGTGCGGCTCCTTGCGTCTTCCTTGGCTTCCCCCATGACGCGCCAGGGTGGCAGTTCTACTACCCCACCTCTCGCCGTGTTCTGTCCTCCCAGGACGTCACGTTTGACGAGTCGGTCCCCTACTACCGCCTCTTCCCCTACTGCACAAGTCCCTCCCCCCGCCGCCGCTCTTCCTCGTACCAGGTCCCCCCCCGGTAGACCCCCTCTCCCCTCAGGGTCCAGCCCCTTCAGGTGTGTCCCAGGTAGACGCAGTCGAGCATGTCAAGGTCACTGGTGACTGTGGTGCTGCTGAGGGTGCTGAGCCCGGGGGTGCTGACTCTAGGGGTGCTGAGTGTGTGGGTGCTACGCCTGGGGGTGCTGAGACTGGGGGTGCTGAGACAAGGGGTGCTGAGACTGGGGGTGCTGAGACTGGGGGTGCTGAGCTTGGGGGTGCTACACCTTGGGGTGCTGAGCCTGGGGTTGCTACGTCTGGAGGTGCTGAGCCTGGGGGTGTGGAGCTTGAGGGGGCTGGGCCTGCTCGTGTGGCGTCTGGCGGTGTTGGGCCTGGAGGTTCTCCGGGTGCTTCGTCTCGGCGGGAGCCACTCTCTCCACAGGAGCTGCGCGAGTGGTTTGCCTGGCGCTGGAGGCGTGCTGCTGGAGCTGGTGGGTCTTCGGCTGCTGAGGGTGCTGGTGCCGCGGGTCCCGGAGGTGCTCGTACTGGATGTACTGGAGCTGGTGGGCCGGCGGGTGCGACTGGAGCTGGAGCTGCTGAGGGTGTTGGTGCTGAGGCTACTGCTCTCCGTCCTGGAGGCGGTGCTACTGTAGGTGCTACTGGTGCTGCTGGAGGTACTGGAGCTGGAGGTGCTGCTGGCGCTGGTGCTGCCGCTAGGGGTGCTGGTGCCGTCCCTGCTGTGTCTGGAGTCGATGAGCGGCCTCGGCCGTACTTCGTTCCGCTCCTTCAGCAGGTTCTTGGTCTCCCGCCTTCTACTGGTCCTCCTCCTCCCTTAGAGTGTCCACAGCCTGTCCCGTCACAGTTACAGTTACCGCCGGCCTCCCCACTGCCTGCTCCCTCTCCCTACACTGGTCCTACTAGAGGTCTTGCTGAGCGTCGTGAGCCTGCGTCTCGCCCTACGTCGCCTGTCCGTCCTATTCGCACTAGTGGTCGTAGTTCGCGTCAGCGTCCTCCTCCTCTCCCTGGCACGCATCGGATGTCTCTGCGTCCGTCCATTGCTCCTCTACGTGCCCCTTTGCCTTCTCCTCCTGCGTCCTCTCTTCCTGCTCTTGCCGACCCGGAGTCGGACTCTCTTCGTGCTGCCAGTCCTACTGTCACGCATCTCCTTGCTACTGTCGTCACTGACCCTTCTTTTGAGTCCACTATTGCGTCTGCCCTCGTTGCTGAGCTCGTCGACTTTGCTGCTCGCTGTCGTCTAGACTACGCTGCTAGTCTTGTCGTTGAGTCTAAGTCTGTCTGTCCTCCATCCCTCGGGGGTGAGTGTGCCCTTGGCACGGATGTCCTTGAGGACAGGCAGGAGGAGTTCCAGTGTCTGGCTGCTGCTTCACCTCATCTCGTGTCCGTACTGCTTACCCCTGAGGGAGACCCGGATGCACTTGACATCCCGACTCCGAGCTCTAACGCGGAGGCGATAGAGGGTCCCTACTCCTCTCACTGGCAAGCAGCTATGGACGCAGAGATGGCTTCCTGGAAGTCCACAGGCACCTACGTTGAAGAGGTTCCCCCGCCTGGGGCGAACATCGTCAGTGGCATGTGGATTTTCAGGGTGAAGCGGCCGCAGGGTTCTCCGCCTGTCTTCAAGGCGCGTTACGTGGCTCGTGGCTTCAGTCAGCGGCAGGGAGTTGAGTACTTTCAGACCTTCTCTCCCACCCCGAAGATGACCACTCTTCGGGTACTGCTGCACATAGCTGCTCACCGTAACTACGAGCTTCACTCTCTTGACTTCTGCACAGCTTTCCTGCAGGGCAGCCTGCACGAGGAGATCTGGCTACGCCGCCCACCTGGCTTCACTGGGTCTTTACCTCCTGGCACCCAGTGGAGCCTCCGGCGGCCAGTCTACGGTCTCCGCCAGGCACCGCGTGAGTGGCACGACACACTGAGGACTACACTTGCGGCTCTTGGGTTTGCTCCCTCTACTGCCGACCTGTCGCTGTTTCTGCGCACCGACACTTCTTTGCCGCCGTTCTACATCCTCGTGTACGTCGACGACTTGGTCTTTGCCGCAGCTGACACTGCTGGACTCGCCCACGTGAAGTCTGAGCCGTAGAAGAGACACACGTGCACAGACCTGGGTGAACTGCGCAACTACCTTGGCTTGCAGATCACCCGGGACAGAGCACGCCGCACCATTACCCTGACTCAGTCACACATGGTGCAGCAGGTCCTTCAGCGCTTCGGCTTCACGTACTCCTCGCCTCAGGCCACTCCTCTGCCTACTCGCCACTCGCTCTCAGCTCTGCCTTCGGATGAGTCCATAGAGTCGGGTGGCCCGTATCCAGAGCTTGTTGGCTGCCTCATGTACCTGATGACCTGCACTCGACCTGACCTTGCATACCCTCTTAGCATTCTCGCAAGCTATGTTGCTCCTGGGAGACACAGACCGGAGCACATGGCTGCAGCAAAGAGGGTGTTGCGCTACTTGTGCAGTACGTCGGGCATGGGGCTAGTGCTTGGAGGGCAGAGTCCAGTGGTCCTCACTGGGCACGCAGACGCTTCTTGGGTTGACGACCAGGCTACGCAGCGGTCGTCACAGGGTTACACCTTCAGCCTTGGTTCTGGCTCTGTTTCGTGGCGGGCTACCCGCTCGTCTTCTGTTCTCGGCTCCAGTTGTGAGGCTGAGATCTACGCTGGGGCCATGGCTGCACAGGAGCTTCGCTGGCTCACCTACCTGCTGACTGACCTCGGAGAGCCGCCTCCTTCTCCTCCAGTGTTGTACGTAGACAACAAGGCCATGCTGGCCTTGTGTCGAGAGCAGAGACTGGAGCACGGAACAAAGCACATTGCTCTCCGCTACTTCCTTGCTCGTGAGCTGCAGCAGCGTGGTCAGCTACGTCTTGCGTACGTGGCCTCTGAGGCCAACACTGCTGATATCTTCACCAAGGCGCTTGCGCCTTGTGATCATCAGCGCTTCTGTACTCAGCTGGGTCTTGTGCCTGCCTTGCCTCACTTGCTCACCTCTTGACCTTGCTTGTACTGTTACATATATATATATACACCTGCTCTTGCTTGTCTAGCCTTTTATATATATATGTACTCATGCATGTGAACTGGCCTTGTGGCCTTGACCTTGTGCTCGGAATGTGTGGTGACTTTGTGATCCACCCTGAGCTTGCTTTGCTTTGCTTTGCTTGACTGGTCTTGTGACCCCTTGTACTCCCCCACTTTGCCTATGGGGGTGTGTTAGAACATTATAGATTATGCTTTTGTGTAGGCTGTAGTGGGGTAGCCCATATGGGGTACAACCCAATGAGGGTTAGTACTTGTACCCAACTCTTCCTTAGTGCATTCATTCTCGTTCTAGTTTTCTCAGAAAGTGCAGGGACTAGTACCCCCACCGCGCTGACGCGCAGCGTACCACTCACGAAGCTGCTGAGGGGACAGGGTCACACCACTCCGCTGCCCTGGCGCGGACCACCATCTGAGCCACTCCTCTGCGCAGAGTCGCGACCCGCTCCACCACCGCCGCCGCCGCCGCCGCCTCCGCCGCCTCCTCCAGCTCCGCCTCCTCCGCCACCTCCGCCGCCTTCGCTCCCTCCGCCACCATCGCCGCCTCCACTCCTCCACTGCTTCCGCCGCCGCCGCCACCCCCGCCACCACTCCCACCACCACCCCCACCCCCTCCACTGCCCCCACCACCACCTCCACCGCCCCCGCCAGCCCCTCCAGCGCCCTTGCCCCCCTTGCCCTTGCCGGTGCGGCGTCTCCCGCTAGGGGCAGACGCAGCGCCGACCGACTCGAAACCAACAAGGTCGGCTGCAGCAGCAGAAGCAATAGAGGGCAAGAGGGGGGAGGGGGAACACCCCTCAAAGATGGGGGTGCGAGGGTCACCACGAGAGGCTCCTACAGCGACTATGCTCTTCTCTGCTGCTAGGAGGCCCTTCTCGAGAAGGTCAATGGTGAGAGTGGTGGGGCAAACTGAGAGGAAGTGGTCCCTTACTACGCGGAGAGAGTCAGGGAGCCGGGTGACTATGTAGTAGAGGGTGATGTACATGGGGGGGGGGGGGTTCTTGGCGCAGAACTCAGCAGGAAGCGCACCGCGGTAGCGAGTGTCACTAGTGCGGAGGTGCGTAATGAGGTCAGCGACTGTGGGAAAGGCAGCAAGGTCAAGGAAGAGGTACGGTAGCATGAGGCGGCTCAGCGCAGCAGTGGCAGGGGAAGAGTAGCGTGCAACTACAGCGTCGTACAAGGTCTGAGCACTCTTGTACTGGCTAAAGTGTGCACGCTCAGTGGTCGGTAAGTGGCGATGCACAGCAAGACGGACACCAGCATCGCGTGTCGCCCACTGTGAGCGAACAGTGCTGTCAGCAATAGCAGGTGGGGCCAGGGAGGCACCAGAGGTGAGGTCGAACAGAGAGAGGCCGCCTGCACTATCGCACTGGAGGAACAGCTGGAGGTCATCGACCCAGACCTCGAAGTCAATAGCACGGCCCTCAGTGTCAAATGTAAGAACACTGGGGGTAGCCATGACTACAGAGGTCTAGCAAGTAGTGGGCTCACCACTACGAGTAAGTAGGGCCGGGGCGCGTCAGTAGGACTGGTAGCGGCTCAGCGGCTCGGCTGCTGGGCGGCTCGGCGGTCGGGCGGCTCGGCGACTCGGCTGCTGGGCGGCTCGGCGGTCGGGCGGCTCGGCGACTCGGCTGCTGGGCGGCTCGGCGGTGGGGCGGCTCGGCGACTCAGCTGCCGGGCGGCTCGGCGGCTAGGCGGCTTGGCTTTTGGGCGGCTCGGCTGCTGGGCGGCTCGGCCGCTGGGCGGCTTGGCGGTCGGGTGGCTCGGCGGCTCGGCGGCTCGACTGTCGGGCGGCTCGGTTGCTGGGCGGCTCGGCGGCTCGGCGGCTCCGCTGCTGGGCGGCTCGGTAGGGGCGGTGTCGAGGCCGCTTAGGAGCGGTAGCGGGGCCGCGAAGGGGCGGCGTCGAGGCCGCAAGAGGGCTGCAACCGGGGCCGCTAGAGGGCGGCGACGCGGCCGCGAGAGGGTGGCGACGAGGTCGCGAGGGGCGGCTGCAGGGCCGCTACGAGCGGCGATGGGGCCGCAAACGGCGGTGACGGGGCCGCGAGAGGGAGGCGACGGGGCCGCGATAGGGCGGCAACGGGGCCTCGAGAGGGCGGCGACGGGGCCGCAAGAGGGCAGCGACGGGGCCGCGATAGGGCGGCGACGGGGCCGCAAGAGGGCGGCGACTGGGCCGCGATAGGGCGGCGACTGGGCCGCGATAGGGCGGCGACGGGGCCGCCATAGGGCGGCGACGGGGCCGTGGAGGAGGGGCTGCTAAGGGCGGCACGACGGGTCGCTAAGGGGAGGGCAGTACACTGGGCGCGCCTCGGTCAGGAGCGACTCGATCTCAGGGCAGGAAAAAAAAGTCGAAGTTCAGTGGTGGGCCCTAGGAAGTTCCCACGAGGGAACCTGTGTCAAATTATAATGTTGTGTAGGCTGTAGTGGGGTAGCCTATATGGGGTACACAATGCTAGGGTTGCATACTTGTATCACTTTCATTCCTTAGTCATCCATTCTCGTTTCTTCTCATGGTATCGAGCAGGTTCCCTCGTGGGAACTGTTCCTAGGGCCCACCAAGTCGAAATTTTTTTTCCTGCCTGGAGCGCACTTCGCTTAGGCCCGAGTCGCGCCTCGTGTGCCCTCTCTACCGTCGCGCCCGTCCTAGGCCTCCTTCGGCCCTGTCGCGTCGCCCCTAGCGGCCTCCCTCGCGCCGCCCTTACTCGGCCCGTCGCCGCCCTTCGTGGCCTGACGCCGCCCTACGCGGCCCGTCGCCACCCTCAGCGGCCCGTCGCCGCCCTCGCGCCGCCCTTTCCCGCGGCCCTGCCACCTACCTGCGGGCGCGCCACCCTACCAGCGGCCCCGCCGCCCTTACCTGCGGCCCCGCCGCCCTTACCTGCAGCCCCGCCGCCCTTCGCTGCGGCCCCGCCACCTTGCTGCGGCCCCGCCGCCCTTCGCTGCGGCCCCGCCACCTTACCTGCGGCCCCGCCACCTTACCTGCGGTCCCGCCGCCCTTCGCTGCGGCCCCGCCACCTTACCTGCAGCCCCGCCACCTTACCTGCGGCCCCGCCACCTTACCTGCGGCCCCGCCACCTTACCTGCGGCCCCGCCGCCCTTACCTGCGGCCCCGCCACCTTACCTGCGGCCCCGCCGCCCTTACCTGCGGCCCCGTCGCCTGCTGCTGCGGCCCCGCCACCTTACCTGCGGCCCCGCCACCTTACTTGCGGCCCCGCCGCCCTTGCGGCCCCGTCACCTACCCCTGCGGCCCCGGCGCCGCCCATCCCGGCCCCGGCTCCGCCCTTCCTGGCCCCGGCGCCACCTCGGCTGGCCCCGTCGCCTACCCCGACGACCCCGACGCCGCCCTTCCCGACCCGGCCCCGCCTCTGCTGGCCCCGTCGCCTACCCCTGCGGCCCCGGCGCTGCCCTTCCCGGCCCCGGTGCCACCTTTGCTGGTCTCGACGCCGCCCTTACCGGCCCCGGCGCCGCCTCTACTGGCCCCGTCGCCTACCTCTGCGGCCCCGGCGCCGCCCTTCCTGGCCCCGGCGCCGCCTCTGCTGGCCCCGTCACCTACCCTGCGGCCCCGGCGCCACCTCTGCTGGCCCCGTCGTCGCTCCACCTGGCCCCGCCGCCGTCCCCAAGCGGCCCCGCCGTCACCACCGAGCCGCCGGCGCCGCCGAACCGCTACCGAGCCGCCCGAGCCACCCGAGCCGCCCGAGCCGCAGCGCCACCTGAGCCGCCCGAGCCGCCGGGTCGCCGAGCCGCCGAGGTGCAGCTGCTACCGAGCCGCCCGAGCCGCCCGAGCCGCCGAGTCGCTGAGCCGCAATTGCTGCCGAGCCGCCCGAGTCGCCCGAGCTGCCGAGCCGCAGTTGATGCCGAGACGCCGTGCCGCCGAGCCGCCCGAGCCGCCCGCACCGCCGAGTCGCCGAGTCGCCGAGCCTGCTCTTCCCTCCACTGGTGAGCCCCTGCCCTGCTAGCGCGCTGCCCGCCACCTGCTTGCCTGCCTGCCTGCCTTTCGGCCTACCTGGCTGCCTGCCTTACTGCTGCTACTCCTGCTCCTGCTTCTACTGGCGGAGCCAGATGCAGCCTCAGCGACGTCCGCGTGAGTCCCTCACGCCCCAGCAGCTACGTGAGTGGTACGCTGGTTGGGATTGTAGGGGTGGCGGCGCTGCTACTGCTACCACTACTGCTGCTACTACTACTGGCGGCGGCCAGATGCAGCTCCAGCAACGCCCACACGTGTCTCTCACACCCCAGCAGCTTCGTGAGTGGTACGCTTAGAGTAGAGGGTCTCTCAGTTCTGTTCGCTGCTCTTACGTGATTCGCACTGGTGCTCGGACTGGTCAGCCTTGTGGGACACCTAGTCACACACAGTCCCGCTGCTTTGCCCGTCTGAGCAACGCCTGGCGTACCGAGTTTGGCGACGAGCGTGAGCTCCCCGACTGGGTGGAGTTGCTTAGGCAGAGGGTAGATATATTTGCTCTTGACTATGATGCTATTCTCACTACCATGTATGCATTGCCTACTAGTGCTGACCGTGCCAGTCACCTGTGCGTACCGCCTGACCCGGGTATAGAGCCTGCTGCAATAGCTGCTGGTGAGGCTGCTGCTCTGGGTGCTAGTGAGTCTCCTGCTCCAGGTACAGGTGCGGCTGCTGCTCTAGGTGCTAGTGAGTCTGCTTCCTCAGGTGCGGGTGAGTCTGCTCTCTCAGGTACCGCGTCACCTCCGGCCTCTCACACCTTCACTCTTGACTCGGGGGCTTCCCGCTCCTTCTTTCAAGACTGCACCACACTCACGCCGCTTCGTCGGCCAGTTGCAGTCTCTCTGGCAGACCCCTTTGGGGGTCCTGACCTTGCTCACTTCTCCACTGTCCTCCCGTGTCCGGCGGCCCCCTCTGGCACCCTGTCTGGTCTTTACCTCCCCTCGTTCTCTACAAACTTGGTGAGTGGTGCTGACCTACAAGATGCGGGGGTTCACCAGTTCACTCCTGCGAGTCAGCGGGTGACCCAGTGCACGGACGCTCGGACAGGCCGACACCTGGCCACATTTACACGTCGGCCGGGGTCGAGCCTGTACACACTGACCACAGCGTCTCCTCCAGTCACTGCGTCTGATTAGGTAGCTGCGTCGGGTCAGGTGTTTGCTGCAGCGTCCAGGTCTGGTCCTGAGTCTGCCCCCTGCTCGTGTCGTCTCCTGTCTCACGAGACTCTCCTCTGGCACCACCGCCTTGGTCACCCCTCCCTGCTTCGTCTCCGAAGCATGGCCTCCCGTGTCCTTGACTCTGGTCTTCCCCGGTCCCTCCCTCCCCTTCCTCCGGGGCCTGGCCCTACCTGCGTCCCCTGTGTCGAGGGGCGGCAGCGGGCTGCCCCTCACTCCTCTCAGTTTCCTCCGACAGAGGCCCCGCTGCAGACGCTTCACATGGACGTGTGGGGCCCGGCCCGTGTCCGTGGACAGGGTCACGAGCGCTTTTTCCTGCTGGTGGTTGACGACTACTCGCGTTACACCACAGTCTTCCCCTTGCGCAGCAAGGGTGATGTCACTGAGGTGTTGATCGACTGGATCCGCGCGGCTCGTCTCCAGCTCAGGCGGAGCTTCGGCTCGGACTTTCCTGTTCTGCGTCTGCACTCTGACAGAGGCGGAGAGTTCTCCTCTGGCCTTCTGCGAGCCTACTGTCGTGCACGAGGCATCCGCCAGACCTTCACGCTTCCAGAATCTCCACAGCAAAATGGGATTGCTGAGCGCCGCATTGGCATGGTCATGGACGTCGCCCGTACGTCGATGATGCATGCGGCCGCCCCCCATTTTCTGTGGCCGTTTGCGGTCCGGTACGCGGCGCATCAGATCAACCTTCACCCCAGGGTCTCCATTCCGGAGACCTCCCCAGCTTTGCTGTGGACGGGGAAGGTTGGCGATGCGTCGGCGTTCCGTGTCTGGGGATCTCGGGCGTTTGTCCGCGACTTGTCTGCGGACAAGCTGTCCCCTCGCGCTGCTCCCTGAGTCTTCCTGGGTTTCCCCCCTGACGCGCCAGGGTGGCAGTTCTACCACCCCACCTCTCGCCGTGTTCTGTCCTCCCAGGACATCACGTTCGACGAGTCGGTCCCCTACTACCGTCTCTTCCCCTACCGCACTCCGTCCCTCCCCCCGCCACCGCTCTTCCTTGTGCCAGGTCCCCCACCGGTAGACCCCCTCCCCCCTCAAGGTCCTGCCCCTTCAGGTGTGTCCCAGGTAGACGATGTTGAGCCTGTCGAGGTCGCTGGTGACTCTGGTGCTGCTGAGGGTGCTGAGCGTGGGGGTGCTGACTCTGGGGGTGCTGAGCGTGTGGGTACTACGCCTGGGGGTGCTGAGCCTGGGGGTGCTGAGCCTGGGGGTGTTGAACCTGGGAGTGCTGAGCCTGGGGGTGGTGAGCCTGGGGGTGCTGAGCCTGGGGGTGCTGAGCCTAGGGATGCTGAGCATGGGAGTGCTGAGCCTGGGGGTGCTTTGCCTGGG